GCATAAATGGACATTCCCCCCATGATCTCCATTGAATGGTTTGGTCCAGGAATGTGTCGCTAATTAATGAGTTTAATTAATTAGTTCCATAATTAATGACCGGAATTAATTAGTTCACATTAATGAGTGGTACTTTAATGAGGTTTTGTTAAGGAAAGGGCTCGTTAGCATATGATAATTAATGAATGTGCATAAATGGACATTCCCCCACCCCAACAATGAATGGTTTGGTCCAGGATTTCATCGCTAATTAAGAAATTTCATTAATTAGTTCCATAATTAATGACCGGAATTCATTAGTTTGCGTTAATGAGTGGTGGTTTAGTGAGGTTTTGTTAAGGAAGGTGCTCATTAACATATGGTAATTAATGAATGTGCATAAATGGACATTCCCCCCATGATCTCCATTGAATGGTTTGGTCCAGGATTTTGTCCCTAATTAAGGAATTTCATTAATTAGTTCCGTAATTAATGAGCTTAATTAATTAGTTTGTGTTAATGAGTGGTAGCTTAATGAGGTTTTGTTAAGGAAGGTGCTCATTAACATATGGTAATTAGTTAATCAGCATAAATTGACATTCTCCCTCGTGATCTGCATTCAGTGGTTTGCTCTGGGGACACCTTGCTAATTAATGAGTTTAATTAATTTAATGAATTAATGAAGGTGGGTGGGGGCGCTAATTAGCGCTAATTAATGCTAATTAATGCCGTTAATTGCAGTGGACTCCATTTGCCTGCGCTGGGCCCCCCCGAAGCACAAACAGGCCAAGGTGGCCAAGAAGTGACACCGGAATTTGCCCAATTTTGGGCCTTTTTCACCCAAATTTTTGGGGATTTTTCCTCCGCTTTTGGGATTTTCCAAAATTTTGGGGCTTTTTCCCAAAATTTTGGGGGTTTTTTCCCAAAAAATTTGGGTTTTTTCTTCACATTTTTGGCGTTTTTCCTCTCATATTTAATTTTTTTGGGTGTTCTCCTGAAATTTTTGGGATTTTTCCTCCAGTTTTGGGATTTTCCAAAATTTTGGGGCTTTTCCGCCAAATTTTGGCCTTTCCCAAATTTTTGGAGGTCCCCATTTCTCCCCTCATTTCCCAAATTTCGGGGTCCCCCACCCCAAATAAAGAACGAAAAGGACAAGCGGGCGACTCTGGAGTTTTTATTTTGGGAAATTTCGGGATTTTGGCAATTTTGGGGCTCCCAGGACTCAATTTTGGGGTCCCACTTCCATTTTTGGGGGTCTCTGCCCATTTTTGGGGTCCCAGGGTTTAAATTTGGGGCCCCACCCCAAATTTCAGCATTTCCACCCCAAAACCCAACCCAGAACCCCCAAATTTTGCCCTTTTCACCCCAAAACAAGGACCAGGACCCCAAAATCTGTC